ATCGGACACAAGTTCACGGGGTAAACCGTGCAATCGAAAGATTGTATCGATAAACACTCGAGCACAGCCCTCTGCTGTGATCGACTCAGGTACAGCAACAAGATGTACCATCTTGCTGAACCTGTCTACAAACACGAGAATACCATTATTCCCGTGAGCGTCTTTGGGAAACCCAAAGACGAAGTCCATTGATACGGACTCCCAGCACTCTGCCGGAACAGGTAGAGGCTGCAATGGTGCACGGAGTGAAGGACTAGGCTTCACTCGTTGACACACCTCGCAAGCACGCACGTACTTGCGCACAAACTTATACTGGCGTGGCCAGTAAAAGTCGCGACTGACCGTGAGGTAAGTCTTCTCACGGCCGCGATGCCCACTTATTGGTGCATCGTGACATTCAAACATGATCCGTAACCTGAGATCATGTTGTGGCGGTACAACGACACGAGGCGTGTCGTTGTTGACGGCTGTGTAGTACAGTAAGCCGTTCCGCTGGGTGTATCGATCGAGAGAAGATCGATACATGGCAGGCAAGCGCTTCTTAGCTTGCGTGGATGGGTCCTTGAGATACTCCATCAGGCGTACAAGATCATTATCTTGTGCGCATGCCCTTCTAATGTCGTCGAGTAAGCTCGACGACAAGACGCTGGTACTCAGCGTGGCGACAGTGGTGTTCACATCACTGTCGGATTGCACAGTCGGCTCTAGGTCAGGCCGACGTGAGAGAGCATCGGCGACGACGTTAAGTCGTCCCGGCTTATACTCCACGGAGAAGTTGTACTCCGCGAAGAACGACAACCATCTCGCCATTCGTTGCGAGAGGTGTGGACTATTTACAGCCGTGCGTAGTGACGCATGGTCTGTATATACAATGAACGGTCTATCTCCTAAGAGATAGACGCGAAACTTAGCCAGTGCATACTTCATGGCAAGGAGTTCCTTGTCATGCACCGGGTAATTGCGCTCAGCCGGTTGCAGCTGACGCGATTGATAACAGACGACACGCTCGGCGCCGTCTGTATCATATTGCATCAGTGCGCAGCCGATTGCAAAATCACTGGCGTCACAGACCACATGAAATGGTCTGTCTTGATCGGCAATCGCCAATACTGGCGATTGCATCAAGCTTTGCTTGATACGTTCAAAGGAACGCTGACAGTCAGCGTTCCAATTCCACTTTACATTTTTCTTGAGTAAACAAGAAAGATGTACTGTCATTTCGGCGTAATTGCGCGAGTACTTGTGCAAGTACGCCGCTAGCCCAAGGAACTTCCTTAGTCCCTTGACATCGACTGGCACTGGCCAGTCGGTGATCGCCTTGATCTTTTCTGGATCAGGGCGTACGCCGTTCTTTCCGACGATGCACCCAAGAAGTGGTATTTCGCTAGCTGCGAATATACACTTCTTGAGGTTGGCGTACAACTTATGCTCTCGCATAAGTGTAAGAACCTTACGGACGTGGAGTCTATGGACTTCCACGTCTGTTTTCCCGTCCATAGCCCGACTATGGACGAACACATCATCGAAGTAACTCGGTGCGAATTCGCGCACCGGTCTCAATAGATGTGAAACACATCTATTGAATGTGGCTGGTGCATTACTAAGCCCTTGCGGCATCACCAACCATTCCCAGAGCATACCACTGGGAGTGCTCACTGCTGTGTACGGGATGTCCCGTTCACGCATTAGGATCTGATAGAAACCATCCATCAGATCCATGGACGAAAAGATGGTACTCTTAGACATACCATCTATGATTACGTCCTTTCTCGGTATCGGCGTTTGCGCCGGTATCGTTGCAGCGTTCAACTTATTGAACGCGTGCACTATCCGCCACCCTCCTGTGGCCTTGCGCACACAGAAGGTCGGAGAGCTGTGAGGTGAAGTTGACTCCCTCACATGGCCCGCTGCTAGGCGATCGGCAAAGAACTTGTCGATCGCCTCGACCTGTTCCCGAGGCAGTGGCCACTGCTTCATGACACAATATTTTGTGCCAGGAACAAGGTCGATCTCGTGTCGAGTACCTTTATCCTTAGGTAACTCGCACGGAACGGATTCAGGGAATACATCCTTGAATTCGACCAAATCCTTGTACAAAGGATTTGACTTCAGCGACTCCCAGGATTGCGATGTATATCGCTCAATCCGAGTCTTCTCATCAAGGACACTCTCGTCCATTGATGAGCTGCTGAGAACCCGTTCGTTCTCGGCAAAAACTGTTGCTGACCGAATGTCAGTCATGTACTCGTCCTCTGCGACGAGCACACAGATCTGCTTGACTTTGCCACTACGCAGATCACGCAAGAACCTTTTAGGTTCTAGCGTAGGCAACTGAGTTATCTCCGAAGTTAACTTCGGAGGCGCGATCAGATCAAGCGTATAAGCGCCTACGTTTGATCCGTCATTAACCAAGACGTTCAACGTCTCGGTTACTTCCTGGGGACTTATTCCCTCAGGGCACTGGGGACTTATTCCCTCAGTGATTATTTCCTGGGGACTTATTCCCGCAGGCTCGATGGAACTTGTTCCATCGACTTCCTCTAGCTGTGGTGGCGCAACCACAGCGAGATCCTCTACGATCAACTCTCCAGTTGATCTAGGATTACCGTGTTGCCGCTTCTGGGCAACCGGTTTACTCTTCGGTGAATGCTGCCCTCTAGGCGAGCATTCATGTCCCGGTCCACTCGACTTATTCGAGTGGTGGACCTTCGGCGCTGCCTGTGCTTGTGCACAGCCGCCGGCAGCTTGCTCCACAGCGTGACTGTCTGTCACGCTGAGTTCTTGTGCAGTCGTACTAACGACCGAACCACAAGTGAGGCCATCACACTCACTCGTAGTACATTCACACGCTTGTGAACGCTCCAAGACGTTCATCAGATGGCCATCTGATGAACAAGCGGCAGGCATCTTCACGGTTCGATGCTGCCAGCTGACCCATGGCTCGTACCTTCTGAGCCATGGTAATCCTAGGATGACATCAAATTTGTCATCCAGATCAAGTACGATGAAATCATCATCGTACTTTTTGCCTTCAAGCGTGTAGTGAATTCCCACTACACGTTTCTTTACTGTTACGGATGCGCCAGTTGCAAGGCGCACCGTCATCCTCGTTGGAGGGGTCTCGCGCTCAACATATTTGAGCCTACGATCATCTAGCGATTGGCGTCGAACAAAGTTGTTCGAAGCCCCACAATCAACTAGGGCGCGAAGTGACATGTTCTTTGTCACTTCGATCTTCAATGTGATGAGGGATACCTCATCACTGGGAGCGGCAACACACAGTGACTGTGTGTTGGGAGCAACCTTCGTCAAGAGTCCCGCGAACTCTCTTGACGTTGCTGGATCAGTAGGGCGCTCCGCCCCTACTGACCCCGACCGTTTTTTGATGGTCCACCACGTTGTTGCGATTTCGCAGCAACGTGGGACCCACGTCTCTGGCCCTTCTTGGCAGACGGTCGATCGTCACTCCCAGTGTTACGAGACACTGGGCGTGGGGCACTACACTCATAAGCGTAGTGGCCCAACTTCTGACAGCGATTGCACTTTTGCAATCGCTTGTACCCTGGAGAGCGAGGTCGCTCGCTCTCTACATAGGAGAGGTCCATTGGTTCTGGACCTCCGCCCTCCTGTCGTCTCGGTGGACGATAGGACCCCGAGTGGACGTGAGCCTGTTGCAGGCTAAAGTCCTCCTGTTCCGCTGCAGAGATCGCTTGATCCAGCGATTCTAGCTCCAAGCGGAACAGGTGGGTCTTGACAGGACCATCTGTCAGACCCTTGATGAACACAGTAACCTGCGTGTGTTCATCGATTGGGTTCAGTACGATACAGCTAACGAGGTATCGTACGTGTTGGGCGTAAGCGTGTATATCACGCTTACCCTGTTTCAAATCCAGGAGCTCAGCCCGAGCCCTGAATTCGGCGCGAGGCGGTTCAAACGTGTGTTTGAGCCGCGCCTTGAAGACGTCATACGTTGGGAAAACGTATGGGTCGTGCAGTTTGAGCCCTAAGGCCCAAGCTTTGGCACGTCCTGCCAAGTTCGACATGGCGAACTTGACCTTCATCGCATCGTCATCGATGCGACGAGCCTCAATGGCATCGTCGAGCTCGACGAACCATCTTAACAAGGAGTCGCTTTCGACTGCCTTGTACTTGGAGACATCAATCTTCAAGGACTCGGGTCGACGTGTATACGTCGACCCGGCAGCAACAGCACTAGCCTGCTGTTGTCTCAACAGTTCAGACTGTTAACCTGCTCATCAACAATATTGTTACCTTGTTCTCTCAACAGTTCAACCTGTTGAGAACCTTGCTCCTCTAGCAAGGTGAGTTTCTTCACAACTTCGTCAAGTTCATGTTGTATGAACTTGGCGATGGTTGCATGTTGGTCGTCTCCGCTAAGAGAGAGCAACATGGCACCAACGGCAGGGTTGCCGATGGTTTCAGCCATACGCTAAACCGCATTCCATTCGAGGTCACTCAAATGGCGGAAATCATCACGCGTTGCGTGATGACATTCATCACCAGCTGATTCCATAGCGAGTGGTGCGGTGGTCGCTGAACGGACCACGAAGTGCTACCAGGTGTAATGGGGCACCCTCCGACTATACTGATTACAGTATAGTCTACTTTCACTGATTACAGTGAAAGCAGGTGCCTCAATTACCTTTCTTACACAAGAGGCAGAGGAAGCTTTACTTCTAAACAAACGCTTAGAAGTAGAGGAAAAGAAAACTGTATTTAATATAGTTAACTATCTTAATAAAACTAATCTGTTATAACCTATGTTAACTATATTAAACTACAACTATGTATGTTGACGACTTGCCCTCCACTCATTGCGCGCGTCCATCGGTCATTGGTCAGCGCGTTGGTTGATATGATGGCCCATATCAACCAATGAGAGGGCATCTCCAACTTCAAGGAGATCTAGAAACAATATTATTAGAAAAGGTAATATTTTTAAAATATTATATATGGTGGTAGTCTTCGTCGTGCCAAGGATGGCAAAAAAAGATAACAAGACCGAGAAGGACAACAAGTGGTGCAGCTTTCAAAGGACGTCTTCACATAGCGATGCCGAATGCTTCACGCAGCAAAAGAAAGCACCGGCAACGAGATATAATGGACGCCAAGCAAAACGTGCTGAGGCTACACAGGTTGAAGAAGCTGCTTCTGATTACCCGTACAGTGACGAAGAGTGCAAGAATGAAGAGTGCAAGGTGTTGATGCACATGCTGGCGACGCAACCTAAACAGCCACCGCCAATTCGCTTGCTAAGTCGTATATCCAAGGCCAAGGAGAAACACCTTGCATTGGTCGTTTCAGGCTGTTCAACCAGTTTTATCAAAGGTAGCCTGTTAAAAAGTAAACCAGATGCTCGGTCACAAGCTACAACATGGACAGTCACGTTCGAGCAAATAGACGAAAGTGTGAAGAGTATTGGGTCAACGCAGCTCAAAAACCGCTTTCCGACATGAAGCGCGAGTTACCTCATAACTCATAGCTTTGCAGTGATACCCAATGCGAAAGACGAGATGGTTATCGGTCGAGACTTGCTTTGTGCGTTAGGCATGATAGTCACCTTTCGCGATGCGCAAATTGAATGGGCCGGCAACAATTACAAATTGAGCCTAGGCTCTAAGCGATCACCTCTTAAAGTCGTTGAACCTAGATACAATGAGCTCAAGGAGATCAACCAGACTATCGTGAAGTCAACCGATCGTTTAGGTGATGCTTAAGTTCACCCATACGTGCGAAAGCAGTTTATTGAGCTTCCCACGGAATACTAGAATCTGTACAACGGCCACCTTGGCAAGATCAAATTACCAGACTATGTACTCCCTATTGCGATAAATTACACGTCGGTACTTGCGAAACCGTATCCCATTGCTTGCAGTCAATAACATGCAGCTCTCGCCGAGATTCAGCGTCTGATCAAACTTAATGTGCTTGAGAAAATTTACGACTCGAAGATGGCCTCTCCAGCCTTCTTTCTTAGAAATCCAGATATGATTCTTCGACTCTTGATCGACTTCCGCGGTCTCAATAAGTTCTTGAAGCGCAGTCCATATTATGTCCCTGTCACACGTCGAGTCATGCAGAGACTCGGAGGATCTAAGTTTTTTTCGACTTTGATGCGAATATGGGGTACTACGCGCGATAGCTAGCGCCAGAGAGTCGACCGCTTACTGCATTCTTCCTGCCGTTTGGTAAAAATCAGTACGAGCGTTTGCCCATGGGTATTTTAACGGCACCTGACGAGTACCAGGCTAGCATGATGAAGATATTTACGTTGACCTTGTGATTATCTACCTGGATGACATCCTCGTATTTTCTCGTACGATCGAAGACCATCGTGAGAACATATGAAATGTGTTTGAGCGTCTGCGTCAGTCTAACATTACGTTAAAAGGCCGCAAATGTCGTGTCTTGTATCCAAACGTCGAGTATTTGGGGTTTGTACTAAGCGAAGAAGGAATAAATTCCCAGGAGAAGCGCGATTCAACAGCTTGCAGTTTTCAAAAATAAACGCCAGCTACGAAAAATTCTGGGACTGATCAACTACTATCGTGAGAGGTGCGCAATAAGTTGGAGTAGCATAAATTGCTTAGCATATTGACGTCGAACAAGGTTCCCTTCATATGGACTTCGACAGGAAACATTGTAGAGGATCACGAATTACGTCAGTGATGTGTGTGTCGTAAAAAGGACAACTTGCATGGACAGTGTTCTTCGAATGATCTGGATTGTGTGATCAGTTTATGAAGGGTTTATACATTTACTTTAGTAGTAGTTTAACTCTTAATACTACTTTTCATTTGGCAGCACGGTGAAGTAGTTGAGCTATCGTTACAGGTTATGAGCCCAAATACGTTGGCTCCTAATGACATCCTCACGGATGACAATTACTTCATGTGGAAATTTAATGCACGCATGACAATCGCGCGCAAGGATATTTTGGATCACGCTTTGATTAAGCCAGAGCCGGCAGTGCTGCGGGAGAATCCCGGATGGAAAGTCGCCGATATGAAGGCTCTGGCTGTACTGGTGAAGCTACTCTCTCCAACCTATCAGTGCATGGTTCGGGAATGTGAGTCTGCGTTTGAAGCTTGGGAGGTTCTGAAGACGTTCTTTGCGAAGAAAAATCTTCACAACCGAGTGCAACTTCGGAAAGAATTACATGAATTTGTGATGGAGACTGGTGCGAGTCTTATGGACCATCTACTAAAATTTGATGAGCTGTGTCTCAAGCTCGGAGCTGCCGGTGACAGCATGGATGATGATGAAAAGCTAGTTTTGCTTTTGGGAAGTTTATCATCCGAATATGATGATATGGTGCGCATCATTGAGGCGCACAGCAACGTGACGCTGTTAGACGCAAAAGAGATGCTCCGCCGAGAGTATGACACTCTTCAGAAGCGAGACAAGAAGGAAACCGCTTTTAAGGCACACGCTCAACGTAATGAACCTCGACGCTTTCAAAGTAACCGAGGACACCGTGGTCAAGAAGAAAATCGAGATCGCTACCAAACTTCGAGGAAAGGAAAAGCTTATGCGAGTTTTCAAGGCAAATGCTTTGCGTGTGCGGCATGGACACAAGAGATCGCAGTGTCGTAACGTGAAACCATCGAGACCTGGTGATGAATTCGTTTTTTCGGCATTCAGTGAAGAACCAATTTCGAATTCAACTTGGTTGCTGGATAGTGGGGCAAGTCGTCATATGACTGATGACAAGCGTGAATTTGTGGAATACGAAGATTTAAGTACCCCAATTTACATCACTGTGGCAAATGGACATCAGTTGAAGGCGCAAGGAACAGGCAAAGTTCGATTTATACTCGAAAATGGTCGTACAGTCAAACTTACGGAGGTGTTGTATGTGCCTGGGCTAGACAAGAAACTTGTGTCTGTAGCAGCGTTGACGGCCCGAGGCGTGCTTGTTCAGTTCAAGCGTGATCAAGCAGTTTTGATAAGTGACGACGTGACTGTAGCAGTAATTAAACGAGTGGGAAAGCTGTTTGCGTGGAATGTAAAACAACATATCACGTTAGAGGCACACAAGGCTGAGAGCAGTGGTGCGATAAATGACACTAGTGGACTGTGGCATGCTCGCCTCGGTCATGTGTCTACGAAAAAGATTATGCAAGCGATGAAGTCTTGCGATGGTATTTCGAGAGTTGTCGCATCTGATGGCGGTGTATGTGATGGATGTGCACGCGGAAAAATGACAAACAGCCCGTTCAGTCATACTTCAGGAAGTGAAGTTAAAACAAGTCGACCACTTGAGGTTGTACACACCGATCTTATGGGACCTATGAACCCGAAGTCGAAAGGTGGGGCTCTATATGTACTCACATTTATCGACGACTACAGTCGATTTGTCTACGTATATTTGCTAGCAGCAAAGTCCCAAGTTTTTGAGCGATTTAAGGCGTTTCGTGCTATGGTGGAGAAGCAAACGGATTGCAAGATTAAATGCATCCGTAGTGACAATGGTGGAGAGTATACGAATCATCGCTTTAACAAGTACTGTGCAGATCTAGGGATTATCCACCAGAGGAGCGTGCCGTACAATCCTCAACAAAACGGCTTAGCAGAAAGGATGAATCGAACTCTTGTTGAGATGGCCCGATCAATGATATATCACATGGAAGTTGATCGTTCTTGGTGGGGTGAGGCGATTATGGCGGCTGCTTACACCATCAATCGAATTCCTAATACTGCGCGACCCAACGTTAGTCCATTTGAAACTCTGTATGGGTCGAAGCCAGACTTAAGTCATTTCCGTGTCTTTGGTTCGACTGGTTATCTACGAGTCGCGGATTGCAAGCGCACTAAATGGGACAGCAAGGCAAACAAGTGTATTTTTCTCGGGTATTCGGAAAATTCAAAGGCGTACCGAGTGTGGGATATTGCGAGAGGACAATTGGTTACGACTAGGTCCGTTACGCTAAACGAGAGTCCTCCTTCGCGGTACAAAGATGTTGTTGTTTTAGGTGAACCTTTAGCTCAATGCAATCATTATCATGATGATTTAGACGAAGTAAAGGTGGAAGTACCTGATTTGAACAAGAATAACGAGGATGACGAAATGGACGTTGATGAAACTGCTGACAATGATACTAGTTGGGAAGACATGGTTGTGGATGCGTCTGGAGATCTCAATCAGTCACAAAACTTAGATGTTGTTCCGATTGAGGGGGAGCGCACAGACATACAAGTCATTGACACAAACAATTCGATGATACGTCGTACTTCACACGGATCGGTCGCTGGAAGTAGCAATAATGGTACACACATGCTCTCAGGAATACCTGATCAGTCGCGAGCTATTATAGTTTGTGAGAATTCCCGTGCCCCAGATGATCGAATGGAGATATACTCAGGGTCGAACAAAAGACCTTATAGTACATTCACGTCATCTCGTCTACTCACGAATGATGATTTTGACGATGAGAGGATTGATCTACCGCTTTTAACTGATGGATCACCTGTCGATGGCGAAAATGATGAGCCGGACCCTAAACGTCAATGTGTTGACGATTACGAAATATCGCTTTCTGCTACTGATGTACCAATGAATTTACGAGAGGCGTTACAGTCGATGGACGCAGAAAAATGGAAGGCAGCAATTCAAGCAGAAATTAATGCTCATCTTAAGAACCACACATGGGATGCTGTCAATCGTCCTCCAGGTGTCAAGGTCATTGGTCACAAGTGGGTATTTGGTTACAAGTACGATGAAAACGGTCAAATTGTTCGTTACAAAGCACGCTTGGTTGCCCTCGGATATCTGCAAACGCATGGTTTTGATTACTTCGACACATATTCACCTGTAGCATGCTCAAACACGATTCGTGTATTTTTGTCTGTTTGTTGCAGTATGCAATATGTAATTCGACAATTTGACGTGGAAACGGCGTTTTTGAATGGTGATTTGGAAGAAGACGTTTACATGGAGGCACCATATGGAATTGAAATTGCACCTGGAATGGTGTGCAAATTACGACGCAGCTTATATGGATTAAAACAAGCGGCTGCGGTTTGGCACAAGAAAATATGCTCTGTGTTTTCGGCCATGGGCTTCGAACAATGTCGAGCAGACACATGTCTTTTTGTTCGACGCAATAATGCAAAAAATAAGTCACCCACATACATAGTCTTGTATGTGGACGACCTCCTTATTGGATGCAAGTCAGATGCAGAGGCGGACACGATTTATAAGGAATTGTCAGAACATTTTACTGTCAAGTCACTTGGAGCTGCGCGGTTTATTTTGGGCATGGAAGTTAACTACTCACAAGAAAAGGGGGAGTTGGTGTTGAAACAGTCCCAATTTATTATGAAGGTGGTCTCGAAGTTTAAGCAAAATGAAGCTTATGCAGTTCGCAACCCTATCTGCGCAGGACAGGACCTAACTCCGGATGAATCACACCCAGTGGTTAAAGACATTACTTCGTATCGCAAATTGGTCGGCTCGCTGCTGTATATTGCGAATGCAACGCGACCGGACATAAGCTACGCGATGTCAGTATTATCGCAGTACTTGGACCAGCCACGACAGATGCACTGGCGAGCGGCTTTACGTGTTTTACACTATCTCATGGGAACAAAATCGCACGGAATTAAGTATAACAAATCGGACGACAAAAAGATGATGCTTTGGGCATACTGTGACGCGAATTGGGGAAATGATAAGAAAACTCGTCGATCTACGTCTGGAGTGTTGATTTTACTCGGAGGTGCAGCTGTCGTATACAAAAGCAAACGCCAAAGTTCGGTGGCTTTATCCTCTGCTGAAGCGGAATATATGGCACTGGCACTAGCTACGCAAGAAGTTATGTGGATTCGTTATTTGCTGAAAGAGATGGGTGTCACATGTAAGACTGCGACTACAGTGCACATGGACAACAAGTCGGCTATAAGTATTGCGACGAATCAGGGATATACTCCAAGAGCTAAGCACATTGACCTTAGGATGCATTTTGTTCGAGACCACATTGAGCAAGGTGATATCCAGCTCAAACATGTTCCGTCAGCTATGCAACTTGCTGATTACCTGACGAAGCCGCTTGGTGCTCCACAATTGATGCGACTACGCGATGAAACTGGAATTCGCGAGAGTGCAAGTTGAAGGGGAGTGTAGAGGATCACGAATTACGTCAGTGATGTGTGTGTCGTGAAAAGGACAACTTGCATGGACAGTGTTCTTCGAATGATCTGGATTGTGTGATCAGTTTATGAAGGGTTTATACATTTACTTTAGTAGTAGTTTAACTCTTAATACTACTTTTCATTTGGCAGCACAGTGAAGTAGTTGAGCTATCGTTACAAACATCGCTTTCGAAGGAATAAAGAGAGAGTTGCCTCATTCCATACTATTGTCCTTCCCGGACTATAGTAAACCTTTCGACCTGTTCACGGGTGCAAGCGGCAAACAACTTGGCGGCATCATCCAGCAGAATGACAAGATTATCTCCTGTTATTCTCGAAACTTGACGGCCGCGCAACAAAAATATACGACGATAGAATTGGAATTGCTTTGTGGTTGAAATTTTTGAAAGAATACCGAACGATGTTACTTGAGTTCCCAGTTGTGGTCTACACGGACCACAAGAATTTAATCTACCCGACGGAGAACTCTTTGTGCGTAAAGAGATGGAAACTTTTTCTCTCAGAGTATCGACTCACGTGCAGGTACATTCCAGGAAAGAACAACATCGGTGCTGATGCCTTTTCGCGATTACTATTGTGTGATGGAGCCAATTTTGCCGAGGATGAAGTCGACGCAAAGGTGGAAGCAATGGTGACAGATGTAAACACAATCGAATGTATTGTTGCTGGACACTATATTAAGAAAAATCAAGCTGCAAACGATATAACTCGTAGAATCATCGAGTGTTGTGTACAGGGAACTAATGACCCCGATTATAGCATCATCAACACGATGGGGGCGCGCCTCTTAGCCTATCAAAAGCATGTGGTTATTCCCGAGGAGCTGCGCATGGATTTTGTCGAATGGTATTATTTGAACCTGTGTCAGTCATCCTGGTATTAAGCGCCAGTATCACACGACGAAACCAACATTTTACTAGTTGGGCATGTAGAGAAGTATAGGTGAGATTATCCGAGCCTGTATCACTTACATGCGCGCAAAACTCCACGGAGGTGCTCAAGCACATGGTAAGCTACCTCCACGCGACATGAATACCGTAAAATCCGCTCGACATGATCCATGTGGACACTATCGGGCCGTATGGGCCTGAATACACTGACAGTGGTTGACGAGGCGACGCGATGGCTAGAAGTTTCTGTGCAAATCAACAAGCAAGCCAAGACTACGGCTGAGAACTTTGATACGACCTGGCTGTGTCGATACCCCCACCAAGTAAAGGTGGTGTTCGACAGAGGAACCGAATTAATACCGCTGTATTTCGAGAGATGTTAGCTAGCTACGAAATCAATCCAAAGCCTATTTCGCATAGAATTTCCAAACCAATGCAATATGCGAGCGCGTCTAGCTTGAGCTGATGAATAGTATACGTTGTTACCCGGACGATGACTGGCGTCAAGCTATCCAGTATGCTGCTTCTGCAGTGCGCACAAGCTATCACAGCATCTTAGGAACGACGCCCGCCCACATGATCTTCGGTCAAGATATACTAACGCGACAGCTACACAAAGCTAATTGGAGCTACCTGTCACACTTATCACTGCGCAGGTGAATGTCGTTGCTCTGTATACAGAGTAGGGAATAGAGAACACGGAACACTTGCTTCCCACTAAGCAACTTTGGGATTGAGGAGGGAAAAACCTCGTAGGTGACAACCCTCTCTGTTAGACTAGACTACAGTGGATACCAACAGGTATACCTCAACTGTCAACGGTAACGATGCGTCCCAGCATCATACGACTAACTGTTCGATGTCCCACCTAGAATCAGGGACACGACATCTTGTACTTCGTCACACTACCTACCCAAAGCAGATTTTTAGCAATCCTCCGTGATAACACATGCGAGAACGACAGGCGACTTGAGCACTTTTACTCTGTTGGAGATCATGTCATGATCCGCATAGATACGAAATATCGCGGAAAGAAGCAGCGTCAAGTCGCAACTGGACCCTACGCTGTCACTGACGTGCATGACCACGGCACCGTGACGCTTGACTTCGGAGTCACGCAACAACCAATCAACATCCGCCGACTTTTTCCGCGTTAAAGCTGTCGAGTATCCAGCATAAGGGCGAGTGACAAGATTGTCGAAGATTCTAAATACTACTGTCGGATCGTCCGCAAGAAAGTGACGCCAGGACAGCGGTCATAAACCTGGCGACAACTATGGACCTTCAAGGTTGGATCTGAGGTATCGTATGCCCACACTTGAGTAGTGTAGGAAAACATATGACTTGAGATGCGATAGCAAAGCAGTCCTAACAAACAATATCACTTCTCAATTTATCATGAAGTCAGCCAACGGGAACCATCCTCTGCAAGTCACGAGCGTGTCAACATTGGGTGTTCTTGAGGTGAAGAAAAACAACGATGGTGCAAAGTGTTGTCAAGACGACGCCTCGAGATTTACCCACATGCCGGTAAGGTGTCCGTGTTTGTGACGTCATCGTAAGACGTCACGGAATGGCGTCATTGATTGACGTCATTGCTGAAGCTTCTACAAAAGGATAGGCTTAGAGGTAGCTTTGTGTGAACTAAGGACCTATATGTAATCACTTTACATTTTACCATCAAGTTGTTAACTACCTTCATTTACTTTAGGTTATGAGCCCAAGCCCCGCAGACTCTTCCCAAGACATCAACTACGCCTTCGCCATGGAAAATCCGCTCAACACGCGCATCGATTAGTTCGACGGAACCAACTTCGACACGTGGAAGTTCAAGATGCAAATGGTGCTCGAAGAGCGTGATCTGTGGGAGGTCGTCAGTGGAGAGGTTAAGCTGGAGCACTGCGCTAACGCGTTGGACCAGGCAACCTTCAAGAGGAAGTAGCGCAAAGCACTAGCAATCATCTGTCTCGCGATAAAGGACTCACAGCTATCGCTGGTCCGGTCGGCAAGTGGCGCGCATGGAGCATGGTTACGACTGGAAGGACACTTCGAGAAGAGGAGCCTCGAAAACAAGCTCTTTCTTCGTCGACGTTTCTTCAAAACGATAATGGAGGAAGATGATGGTATGCTGGAGCATATCAACAAAGTCAAGACCCTGGCGGAGCATCTCGACGCGGTTGGTGCTTCGGTCAGCGAAGACGACTTATTGATCACGCTTCTTGAAAGCTTGAGTGAGTCGAACCAGTTCCTTATCTCGGCATTGGAATCGCGTTCCGATGCACTGACGTGGGAGATAGTGACGTCTCGGCTGCTGCATGAGGACATGAAGCGTAAGGAACAAGGTGGTGGCATCGACGGAGCTGCGCACGGCCAAGGTCAAGCGTTCATGACGAGTGGCAACATGAAGAGCAAAGGAAGAAAGGCACCGAAAGCTAGTGCTTGTCATTACTGCGGTGAGCATGGACATTGGATCGCCAAGTGTCCAATGAGGATTCAAGAGAAGTCACAGCGAAAGAGGATGCAGCGAGCGACAATCGCGCATAGTGAAGACTATTCTGGCGACTATTTTATCTCGGGCGGTGGTGACACGGGAGTTGCTAAATCAAGTGGAGTGTTGCTGGTCGACTCGGGTGCGACGCAGCACATGACGAATTCCGAAGAATACATTAAGGACTTCAAGAAGATAACTTCGGTGGACGTGCATCTCGCAGACGATGGTGTGGTCCAAGCTCTGGAAACCGGCGACATTGTCATGTCAACGAAGACAGCACATGGTGTTGAGAAGGGTGTACTGACGAGCGTGTGGTAAATTCCCAAGTTATTGAGGAGCTTGTTTTTATTCAGAAGATCTACTAAGAACGTCGGGCCAGTGATCTTCGAGTGCGACGATTCCTTCGTGAATACGAAACGTCTCAAGTGAAAGCTCGATGCTCGCGAAGAAAAAGGAATTTTTAAGCTGTGCATGACGCCGATGATGCCTGACGAGTCCAATGCAGCAAGTTTTAAGGATCGCAAAGGGGACACCACTTCGTACCTCTGGCACCTTCGAGCTGGCCACATCGGCTGTGGAGGTCTAAGTGATATGGTAAAGAGATATTACGGGATAGGCATCGACATCAAGTCGATGAATCAGTGGAAGCTGTGTGATGGATGCGCTCGTGGCAAGCAAACGCGAGTCAACTTTGCTAAGTCCTCGCCAAGACATTCCACGGAAGTTTTAAAAGTGATCCACAGTGACGTGTGCGGTCCCATGAAGACTTCGACGTTAGGGGGCAAGCGCTATTTCTTCACATTAATTGACGACATGTCGCACTTATGCGTGGTGTACTTGATGCGAAGCAAGTCCGAGTTAGCGACCAAGTTTGCGAAGTTTGTTGCGCTGGCTGAAACCCAAACTGGTCAACCATCAAGACTTTACGCCGTGACAATGGTGGCGAGTACACTTTTGGAGCGATGGCCAATTTTTGCAAGGATCGCGGCATTGAGCAGAATATCACACCCCCGTACACGCCTCAGCTGAATGGAGTGGCAGAACGGATGAACCGTACGCTGGTGGAATGTGCTCGCTGTGTGCTGGAGCACGCCGGATTGTC